GGAAGTATTTATATTTCAGACGGTTAATAATATAGTAATAGCTCCTGCTAAAATATTTCTATTCACTTATTAGACTGTATTTTATTTGTGCCCAACATATACCCTACTCTAGCTGTTGCATCTCTTGGTTGACTTGGCTCTAACTTGGTCAAAAAACGTGTCAGTCAGCTATTGTAACTAAAACGGAATCTGCTCAGCACTAAGGTAACGGTGCTGAGACTAGGTCTTCACTACAATGACATTTGTACCGGCTGTATCTCTGAAGACAAGGAGGAAACTATGTTTTATCTGATGAGTTAGTACCCACCTTTAGCTAGGAAAAGATTAAAAATCTTGTTAGCCCCTTTCCTTACCGATCTGATCGAGCTGTTATCCTGCAATATTAAGGTCTTAGCCAGTTTCATAGAATTGTCAAGTGGTTGCCTTTTTCGACGTTCAACGTATACTGGCCTTCGAATCTATGTACGAACCAACGCTATTCCTGTGGTATCACAACGGGCCATTATTTGAGCTTAAGAACTTCTAAATTTTATTTTTTGAATATCCAATGGACACTTACCGTTTGAATACCGCGACATTGACATAGTTAAGCGCATAAAAATTCAGCGGCTACGCTGGCATGGTCATGTCGTGCGAATGGAAGAAAGTGCTCAGGCTAGAAAGGTATTTGATTCGATACCCGCAGGTGGAAAACGCGGTAGAGGACGTCCGCATCTTCGGTGGAAGGACCAGGTGACCAACGATTTGGAGGCGCTCGGTACTACCAACTGGCGTCAGAAGGCAACTAATCGGGCTGACTGGCGGAGGCTACTCGACGCGGCCAAGGACGACACACGTCTGTAATGGCCAACTAAGTAGGTAAGTAAGTAATGGACACTTACTTATTACTTCTAGTAAGAACTAACCTGTTACATATTAAACTTAACAACATACGGCGATCTAGTGAACTCAGTTTGTAGACCAAAGTGCAATTTATGAACACAAATGTGAAATCTATCTTGTACTACAGCTGTGCAACACGAACGCAGTCCAGACATACATATATAGAGAAAGATGCAAGAGTTTGTCAACAAGTGTCTACATAGAATTCTCAAAACATGGTGACCAGATCAAATATCAAATGAACGCCTGCTGAACCAAATGAATCAAAAAGCGGCAAAAACTGAGATAAGAACGAGACATGGATAGTGGATAGTATTTAGAAAACCGAGAAATTCGAAAAAAATTGGAGAGAAAATATATGTTATGAAGACATAGCATAGATTTTATAGAACACATATCTGCGTAAAGAGTATTGCATTTTACAAGCATTTTTGACAAGAAGCTAACAACGTTCTTATCTGCCATGGCTCTGTATGGCTTTGTATTTTTACAAAAAAACGGGTTTGAAGTCAGTTTCGGTCATAAAAGAAAAATTAATCTCTGAAAAAGATATAATGAATTAAGTTTATCGATAGCGTAGCACTCGATAAACGGTTGATGGGACTTAAACTAATGGTAAGAAATTAATTTATGCATAATAATTTAATGTTTCCCTGTACTTTTAATAGTGATTACACTAAGTATGTTGTATGACATTATGTGTATATTTATTTTTTAAAATAAAATTCGTTTCCTTCATCCTTTGGTATTAAAATTTGTGTTCAGCTTTGCATTTATTGTAGTTTTAACACCTGTTAAACATTTCCCAATTACAGCAAAATTTACACCTTCAACATAAATCATTAAAACTTGGATATATAGAAATAAAAACAAAATAAATTGACGTTAAATGCCGATAGCTATCAAATTTCGCTTCACGGCATGCGAACTTTTGCAGTAAGTCCGTGTGTCACTGCAACATATTTTTGATGAAAGAAAACCTGCGAAACGCTGAGTATCACCAGAACATGAGCATTTGATAAAGATCTCAGCGCATATTACTCAGGATAACGTCTATGCACTTAACTTCCAAATAGCAGCATTGTTGTAGGAAGACAACTTTGCACAGGTCCTGCGTGATCCTGCCTTTATGAGAAATAAATAATTCATTGTTGACTGAAAACATGACACATAGGCGGTTGTAATGCTTATTTCACATTTTTTGAATTCTAAGCCAACAAAACCATATATAAAAAGGCCACGTTGAAATATGTCCAGAAGCCACACAAATTTAGTATAGAGTATTTAAAGTATAAAAGGAATTGGACATAGGTATTGTGGGTAAAAGCGCATTAATATGGAAAGCAACATATTTGTGAGCATTAAAGTGCATTCGTTTGATGTGAAGGAATTAAAATGTAAGGCCGTTGTGTGAGCGTCCTACGCCAGCACAAAAAATTATACTTGTGATATTGTTGGGTCTCTACTTGAACCCTTTCGAAAGACTCTCGTGCTAAGCCTCATTACATGGCACATAAGTTGTGCTCATAACTCAGTTTTCGACTATTATCAAATATATCTCTCTTACGTATATTTATTATTATTATTATTTATTTTTTGTTTTTTTTTGTGAAAACGTTTAACTTGTACGCGCATATGTAAGCTTATGCTAAGTCGGTATCCTGCGAATTAATTGGTTCTTAAGTTGGCACTTGGTGTACGTATTGAAAGGGTTTTTATGATTTTCCTGTATCAATTTCAGAAACTGAAATGAATTGTATCTTTGGGTCTTTGTGTAGTTTTCTTTTCGTTGGTTTCGTTTTTTGTTGCGCTTATTATTATTAATTTTATGCTGTTCGTGCTCTTCTCATATAAATTCTGTTGTATTTAATCTATGACAACTTGATAAACGCGCATCACGCACATTGCACGTCTGCGCCACAGGATATGTCAGGTCGAGCGTTACGCATATTAACACCTGTTCCGGTATGTGCTCTCTATCTTCAGGATATCATTCAGTTTAAGCTAACTGAGTGTAAGCATTTATGGTATTTGAAATGATCTGCGGAGTGTGAAGGCGTTTAACTCGTATTTTGATATTATATCATCTAAGCATATAACCACAGGTTATCATAGTTTTATGGTTTGTTTGTCAGTTTAACACCTTTGAAGGTGTGGCAATGCATTTGGTGTACATATTTAAAAGGTTAAAGGTCTAAAAGATCTTCTGTCTATGCGTTAAACAGAAGAAAACTATAAACATATTTAATTTATGTACTATTCACGCAGCTGAACTAGACTGGAATAGTGCATACGTCAGCAGTTGTTAAAAATATACATCGTTTCGATAATTAACAGCTTAATTATAATTACATTATATAAGCGAAATTTAATATGAAAATATGAAACAATGTTTTTATATTATAGAAATTGTTTAAGTTCACAAGTTAATGAACAAAGTATAGGTTATTAAGAAATAAAGAAAATAAACCCTCCACCAAAGTTTCGAAAAGTAGTGAACTACAGCAACAAAAATTCTTTAATTCTATACTGTTTTAATTAATTGAATTTTTGGTTGACCATACAACTATTTCGAGTAACGTTAAGTAACCATCATCAGTGTTCCTAGAAATATTTCTTGTATTAAATTATTTGTGAATCATTTTGTTTGAGACTGCATGTATCAGGTATTGAACTCGTGCCCTGCCAAATTTGAAAATCAGAGTCAGCGCTCCTTAACCAACTTACTCAAAGCCGTACTTAACTTGTATGTTCGCACTTTTTTCTGGAGTTTAACAAATTAAGTTGTTGTGTTATATAGAAGAGAATGATTGAATTAATTAATAATATTTTTTATTTTTGATTATTAAATTTCAATACTATTCTGTTTGTAGAGGCATTATTTGCTGCATACGTTTATATTAATCTCTCTTATGTAAAGAACCTTATCTAGGAATGTAGTTTGTAATTTTATTTATTTTATTATTAAATATTGCCAAGGTTTCCAAATTTTTTTTGACTTCGTCCTCATTTCATATAAGTTTCATATGAAACTCACTAACTCATTTATTTTTAAAAAAGTATTTAATATGAATCTAAATTTCATATATTTTATTCACTAAAACCCATTCAAATTAATAATTAATATACATATATTGTATAACACTACAAATTATTTTTTTAAATAAATATATATTATTACTAATATTACATAATATTACATTTCATGTATTTGGACTATGAATAAACATCTATTTGAATGACTTTGAAAGCTAATACACAAAAACCAATCCATATACTAACAGTCAGACATCGTAGATAGATCAATAGATCACTTACATCGGCACGCAGATCAAAAATGTGTGTAATTCATTTGCATTATAAAAACATTATAAAAACAACTTCACTGTATTTACTCCATAATAACCGACATTTACGTCTCAAATTTTAACACCAAAGTTTAAATAGTTAGTCCTTAAGATAACACCTTTAAAAAGAATTTTAAAGGATATAGTATGTGTCTAAATGACAACTTTAGTTTTTATTTGGATTTATTGTAACTTTTTGACCACATATTACTATTAAACAAATAATTTGCACCAAAGAAAGGGTTCAGTCAGAAAACCTAATTATAGTTGAGATAACTACTATAACACATATACAAATTTGTAGTCTATATTTAAGATTTTGGTTTTAGCTTCTTCTTAAAAACTGTTTTCTTTGACACTACTATCTCATATTACATAAAGACTCGTCCTGTTAAATAGTTGATTTTGATACTGAAGTGGTTCCCTATTGCAATGAGTTAAAGTCATTCTGCATTGAGGTTGCACCAGCACTTCTTTTATATGAAAACCACAAATACAACACTTGTACTTATTTACATCTATTGAAAAGTTGGACATCCACTTGCAGTTGAAGAAGTGTAAAATATTAGATAGATAGGTTTTATTTATTTTATAAAGGTATTGAAATATTATATTTTTTTCACATCTTTGTTAATATGGTCTAAAAATGGATGTGGGTTATGGGTGTCTGTTGTGATCAGTATATTATATTCCAAACAATGTTTAATTTAAACGCAATTTGAGTAAAATTTTTTTTTACTTTTTATATTTTATATAAAAAAAATATATTATTTATGTTTATGCATTTTATATTATAAATGCAATGCGCCTTATCGGAATGTATCTTCATTCAACTTACTGCTTCCGTACAACAACCTCAAATTGCTAAGTTGTTTTTCTATCTCATGAAACATAAGTTTTGTGCCGAGTGTTAATAATTTCTTCTGAATCCCATGAAATCAATCCAAATCAGTGAATACATGTCTAAGAAAATGAAACACATTATTGAAAATGTATTTTTTAAATAAGTGCTTATATTAAACGCACCTTTACAGGATCTATCTATCAAATAACCAAATAACCAATCGAGACATAGCAAATCCACTAGCGAAAACCAATTGCAGTTAAAGCAACTGATTTTGTAAGATCAATAATGGTTCCAGAAAATGCAATCCTGAACTTTTAAATCCCATCACTAATCAAAAGATGGCTTTATACAATATTACTCCATGGCACTGGCTCTTGTAGTTTAATACACACCAATCACTAAAAAGAATATCTATTGGTTCCGAAGTAGTCCACAATCCTAATCTTTTGCATCTCGTCACATCAGCTGATTAAGAGATGGCCTTATACAATATTACTCCATGTAAGTGACTCTTGCAGTTGAATACAAACCAATCACTCAAAAAGATACGTATTACTTCAGAAGTAGTCCATAATCCTGAACTTTTGCATCTCATTATATCAGCTGATTAAAAGATAGATGGCTTTACATGACTGCTGCAGTCCATGTCAATGACTGTTGAATGTATATATCTAATAATACAAAGCAGATTTTTAAAAACGTTTATTCTTAATATAATAATATTATATATAATATAATAAAAATATAATATAATAATATAATAATCTTAATAAATGTATACCTTCACAGGATCAGTCTAGCCACTGACTAGATATAAAAGCAATTTAGATATAAACCAACCGCTCTTCTATGCTCACTTGCTCACTAGGATACCGATTACTTCCATAAGTAGTCACAGCAAATGTAATCTGGAGCTAAAGATTCGCTTATATTTTTTAAACAAACACATACTTTACTGCATAGTCTTGAGATCCAAACAATTGCTGGAAAATGCTTAAAGTTAAAAAGCGGCTTGAAATTCTGTATCCAATAAAACACCAATTTTGATTCTCAGCGTATGGGAAAACAGAAAAAACAAAACACCTGATCAAAAGAATTTTAAGATTGCTTTAAATAGTTCGAGTTATATATACGAAGTTATACTTACATATTCCATTTCATTTCATACATTCCATTTATAAGAGGCGCCCGATCATCACAGCCTGTATATACGGTATGAGGCCCATAACCTTAAGTAATGAATATTCAATGAATTTGAGTAAAACCTCAGAAAATCCATTATTCAATTGACAGTAGGTGGGCTCAGCTTTAAAATTTTTTATATTTTGGTTTTTGAACTTTTCAACTTTGGAAACTTACGAGTATACATGGTATATATTTTGTTTTAATATTAATGTGAAACAATACTTGGATTCGTTATTTTTCTTCTTAATAATGAGTTTTTATATGGGGTTTATTATATATTTTACATATCCTTGCGTGCTTTTAAAATATTTTCATTTTACCTGCCACGGAAAAATACTCGATCATATCAATAAATCAGCGTCTAACTACTTTATAACTCCGTTAAAAATTAAATTTAATTAATAAAACATAAATAATTAATAATCTTGCACTTTTAACTTTTAATTTTGAATTTTGAAAAATGTCCAAAATGATCCAAAATAAGTTTTGTTAAGTTTTTAACGAATTATTTTTTTAACCAATTATTTTTTTGACGAATTATTTCAAATTTTTTATTTATTATACATATTTTTACTGAAAATTTTTAAAAATTCAAAGAAAACTCGATTTAATAAATATAGAAAATTAAAAATCGGGGGATACTACGATACATTAATAATTTATTTTTAGTTTTGACGTTTGAGTTGTCTTCTACTGAAATTATTAAAAATATATAATCTTTAATGTGAAACAATTTTTAAATTCATTATTTTTATCTAAAACTCAAGTTTTTATATGGAGTTTCTTTTATATTTTATATAATATTACTTACTTGTATTACATTTTTATATGTCCTTATTTTTTACAACTGCTCTCTTTTAAATAGTTTTATTTTACCTTTCATAGATGAATACTTAATATTAATAAATCACTATCCAATTGCTTTACAACTCCGTGAATAATTAAATTTAATTAATAGAAAATTTAAATAATTAAAAATCTTGCACTTTTAACTTTTAATTTTGAATTTTGAAAAATGACCAAAACGATCCAAAATAAGTTTTGTAATATTTTTTACGAATTATTCTTTTAACCAATTATTTTTTTGACGAATTATTTCAAATTTTTTATTTCTTACATAAATTTTTACTGAAAATTTTTGAAAATTCCAAGAAAACTCGATCTAATAAATATAGAAAATTAAAAATCGGGGGACAATACAATAAATTAATAATATATTTTTAGTGTTGATGTTTGAGTTCTCTTGTACTGAAATTATTAAAAATATATTATTTTTAATGTGAAACAATTTTTAAATTCACTATTTTTATCCAAAACTCAAGTTTTTATATGGACTTTCTTTTATATTTTATATAATATTACTTACTTGTATTACATTTTTATATGTCCTTATTTTTTACAACTGCTCTCTTTTAAATTGTTTTATTTTACCTCTCATAGATGAATACTTAATAATATTAATAAATCACTATCCAATTGCTTTACAACTCCGTGAATAATTAAATTTAATTAATAGAAAATATAAATAATTAATAATCTTGCACTTTTAACTTTTAATTTTGAATTTTGAAAAATGACCAAAATGATCCAAAATAAGTTTTGTTAAGTTTTTAACAAATTATTCTTTTAACCAATTATTTTTTTGACGAATTATTTCAAATTTTTTATTTAGTACATAAATTTTTACTGAAAATGTTTGAAAATTCAAAGAAAACTCGATCTAATAAATATAGAAAATTAAAAATCGGGGGATAATACAATAAATTAATAATATATTTTTAGTGTTGATGTTTGAGTTCTCTTGTACTGAAATTATTAAAAATATATAATCTTTAATGTGAAACAATTTTTAAATTCACTATTTTTATCCAAAACTTAAGTTTTTATGTGGACTTTCTCTTATATTTTACATAATATTACTTACTTGTATTACATTTTTATATGTCCTTATTTTCTACAACTGCTCTCTTTTAAATAGTTTTATTTTACTTCTCATAGAAGAATACTTAGTAATATTAATAAATCACTGTTCAATTGCTTTACAACTCCGTGAATAATTAAATTTAATTAATAGAAAATATAAATAAATAATAATCTTGCTCTTTTAACTTTTAATTTTGAATTTTGAAAAATGTCCAAAATGATCCAAAATAAGTTTTGTTAAGTTTTTAACGAATTATTTTTTTAACCAATTATTTTTTTGACGAATTATTTCAAATTTTTTATTTATTATACATATTTTTACTGAAAATTTTTAAAAATTCAAAGAAAACTCGATTTAATAAATATAGAAAATTAAAAATCGGGGGATACTACGATACATTAATAATTTATTTTTAGTTTTGACGTTTGAGTTGTCTTCTACTGAAATTATTAAAAATATATAATCTTTAATGTGAAACAATTTTTAAATTCATTATTTTTATCTAAAACTCAAGTTTTTATATGGAGTTTCTTTTATATTTTATATAATATTACTTACTTGTATTACATTTTTATATGTCCTTATTTTTTACAACTGCTCTCTTTTAAATAGTTTTATTTTACCTTTCATAGATGAATACTTAATATTAATAAATCACTATCCAATTGCTTTACAACTCCGTGAATAATTAAATTTAATTAATAGAAAATTTAAATAATTAAAAATCTTGCACTTTTAACTTTTAATTTTGAATTTTGAAAAATGTCCAAAACGATCCAAAATAAGTTTTGTAATATTTTTTACGAATTATTCTTTTAACCAATTATTTTTTTGACGAATTATTTCAAATTTTTTATTTCTTACATAAATTTTTACTGAAAATTTTTGAAAATTCCAAGAAAACTCGATCTAAAAAATATAGAAAATTAAAAATCGGGGGACAATACAATAAATTAATAATATATTTTTAGTGTTGATGTTTGAGTTGTCTTGTACTGAAATTATTAAAAATATATTATTTTTAATGTGAAACAATTTTTAAATTCACTATTTTTATCCAAAACTCAAGTTTTTATATGGACTTTCTTTTATATTTTATATAATATTACTTACTTGTATTACATTTTTATATGTCCTTATTTTTTACAACTGCTCTCTTTTAAATAGTTTTATTTTACCTCTCATAGATGAATACTTAATAATATTAATAAATCACTATCCAATTGCTTTACAACTCCGTGAATAATTAAATTTAATTAATAGAAAATATAAATAATTAATAATCTTGCACTTTTAACTTTTAATTTTGAATTTTGAAAAATGACCAAAATGATCCAAAATAAGTTTTGTTAAGTTTTTAACAAATTATTCTTTTAACCAATTATTTTTTTGACGAATTATTTCAAATTTTTTATTTAGTACATAAATTTTTACTGAAAATGTTTGAAAATTCAAAGAAAACTCGATCTAATAAATATAGAAAATTAAAAATCGGGGGATAATACAATAAATTAATAATATATTTTTAGTGTTGATGTTTGAGTTCTCTTGTACTGAAATTATTAAAAATATATAATCTTTAATGTGAAACAATTTTTAAATTCACTATTTTTATCCAAAACTTAAGTTTTTATGTGGACTTTTTCTTATATTTTACATAATATTACTTACTTGTATTACATTTTTATATGTCCTTATTTTCTACAACTGCTCTCTTTTAAATAGTTTTATTTTACCTCTCATAGATGAATACTTAATAATATTAATAAATCACTGTTCAATTGCTTTACAACTCCGTGAATAATTAAATTTAATTAATAGAAAATATAAATAATTAATAATCTTGCACTTTTAACTTTTAATTTTGAATTTTGAAAAATGTCCAAAATTATCCAAAATAAGTTTTGTTAAGTTTTTAAGGAATTATATTTTTAACCAATTATTTTTTTGACGAATTATTTCAAATTTTTTATTTGTTACATAAATTTTTACTGAAAATTTTTGAAAATTCTAAGAAAACTCGATTTAAAAATATAGAAAATAGAAAATCTGGGAACATTACGATACATTAAAATTATATTTATCATTTTAATGTTTGTGTTGTCTTATATTTAAATTGTTAATAATATATGTATTATATTTAATGTAAAACAATTTTTAAGTTCATTATTTTTTTTCCAAACCTTAATTTTCCATATCTACTTTCTTTTATATTTTACATAATATGACTTACTAGTATTGTATTTTTATCTATTCTTAGTTCTAACAACTGCTCTCTTTTAAATAGTTCTATTTTACCTGCCATGGAAAAATACTTGGTAATATTAAAAAGCCAACGTCCAATTGATTTACAACTTGGTCAACAATTAAATTTAATTATTAATAAATATAAAATAAATGAATAAAGTAACGATAAGTTTTAGTTTTTAATTTTGAAAAATGTCCAAATAGATCCAAAGTTCGTTTTTAATGAACTATTTTTTTAACCAATTATTTTAGGTGTTTTATTTGTTTTAAAGTTTTTCGCTGTAAATATTTGAAAGTTCATATAAGTCTCATTTTATAAGTTTAAAAAGAAAACGAGATTAAAAGTTGCAGGAAAATATATTACATTGTTAAGATATATATATACAAATCTACATAGATATATGCGGCACGATGCACCATTTAGCTTTTTATTTACTGTACTTACAGTTTTTTTAAAGCACTCATCTTGCATATTACTTTCCTTCACTTTTTGGCTGTTTTTGGAATCATGATAAAAATGACAGTTTCATCTCTAGCGCTATATATACGTTACAATATTTTTTCATCACTTGTTGTAGTACGGCGTAACCTCACCCGATAATTCTAATGCATATCGTATCGTATCGCTCTAGTATGTGTTTACTTTTAATGTGTTAGCTTTATATATGAGTAAGGATATTTATATATAGTATCTTTACTACCGTACAAATAAATCTGCAAAATACTAATAAAAATGTCAATAAGTAATCAATTATTTTCTGTACACACTATTATATTTGAAAGGACATATCAAGGAACAAACGGATCAAAGAAGATATGAAGCAAATATCGTATATGAGTATATATACATTTTTAAGTTTTTGTTCCTTTTTAATTGAGAATAAACATGTTCGAGGCCTTAAAGGCTTAATTACTTGTGCTGTGAGTTATATATAGCCCCCACAATGTGCACACACGCAGAAACTGAGACACTTGTTGCGAGTACTGCCATATTGATATCATTCAAAGAAATCAGCTCATTAAAAATTTTGTTAACTTGTTCTGTATTTTCTCACATTTTATGTCTTAGGTAAATATTTCGACTTTATAAACTGATATTCATATATAAAATCACACAAATATATATGTACATACATATATATATATATATATATGCATATGTATATAAAAGTATTTTTTGTATTTTCATTTTGTTTTACAAAATATTATATTGACATTTTTGGACACGCATACCGCACGATGC